ACACATTTAAATGATAATTAAATTGTATTTTTTTATTTAGTTGATTATGTTAATTCACTGTACTAGAGTTCAAAATGGAGTAAAAAATAAGAAAAAAACAAGTGGATGTTAGGTAGATAGAAATAGTTTAAGGATAATCCACAAAGATTGACCAAACCAAATGAATTAAACTGAATCTAAAATCATACCACCCAAATTAAAATTAAGCCAAAGCCATAAAAACCAAATTTGCAATTAAGAGAAAAAAAACGATCTATACTATTAGTCTATTGGATCTATTATTACTTATTTTTTTATTGGGTGAAAACAACGCCATGAACTTCATTCTCAGGGTAGAAAAGGGCATGGGCAAATAAACAAAATATATTTGTTTAGGCAAGGATGTGCACAACAGTGTACTTCTGATTGTAGCTCGAGCTCGGCCTCCGGACCGATCTGAATACTTGGGCGGACCTGCACAAAAAGGTGAGCACTCCGACGATCAAGTCAGTATAGGTCGGATTCCCAGTTCAGTTCGAGGTCAGAAATCATCGTACCTGATCGTGGAGTGAAGTCCTCTACTTATGGGTGGTAGTCCCGCTAATCTCGCGACGGTTTCACCCGGTAATCTCGGGACCGTCGGTTACACCCGGTAATCTCGGGACCGACGGTTACACCCGATAATCACGCTGCTGACAGTAGTTCACATTGGCCCCCGCCGAGCTTCCCGGTAGGTCGGATCTCGGCCAGGTTCACCTCGACCCTCATACTTAGCATCTGTCAACGCTAGCGGTGGTGATCTCGGGCGTCCGAGCTGGGCATGACTCATGAGTCATCTTGGAGTACCAATAGGGGTCCTTCACGTGTCCAAGGTATTCTCCCTCCAAACAATATTTTTAAAAATAATTATAAATAGACAGAGACTTTGCAGCTAACGTTGTAAATGCACTGAAGTTTCTACAATAGAAAGTAACTTGAAAATAACGCGTTTTTTTTTTACAATAACTTGAAAATAACGTGTTATGTCCTATGTTAGACTAGTCCAAGTCAACCGATGACAAAGGGGAAAAGATTACCATTGATTTTAATTTGAACCTCGATATTTATTTTAGTACAATATATCAAGATGAGAGATTGAACTCTTCACGTGCTCTAAATTCGGCCCGTACTCGATTAGGAAAATATACTGAATTGCTATGATCAATTGTGAGATCATATGTCTGTAATTCAATTCATCGTTTGAGAACTGTTTTTAGTAAATTTTACTTGTATTTAATGATGCTTTTCCATATTTCTAAAAAGATGTGAAACCAATTCATTGATTTTTAAGGTTGTTCAACAAGTGAGTTGTAGACCTAATATTTGGTCGGTTGATTTTTAGTTATTATTTTTTTATTAAGTTTAATTTTTAATTGTTTGAATAATCATTTTAATATAATTGTTTTAATTAAAAATAACATAAAGTTTTAAGGCCAAGTTTTAATTAAATTAAATTAAAAAAAAATTGTTTAAATAAACTCAGATTTCATTCCGTTAAAAAGTGATTTTGTTTTAAATAAATGATTTGTTTTTAAAATATCGATCCTATTTTTCAGTTTTTCCTTCGTCAAAACTCAACGCATGGCTCTTCTTCTTACTTCTTCTTCTCCCTCTTTTTGTCTAGTATTTTTTTGGCCATGCTAAGTTACCGTTACCACTTTCTAGTATTTAAACAGGCTTCTTCAGTACAAACAGGGAGGACACACATAGAACACACCCCGAGAGTAGGTGGCAGCACAAATCTCATAGAAATTGACTTTGAAAATTCAAATTTCCTTGCGCATTACTTAACTCCGAGAAATTGCGTGGGCGTCAAATCTGACTTTACTTCACTCTCATTGTGGAAATCTCTCAAAATTCCAATCCATGTGTTCCATGGTAAGTTCAATCATCCCACCCTATTTCGATTACATCAACTATGAAAGTTTTTTTTTTCCTTCTTTCTTTGTGCTTTTGTTGCAAGTGGATGACAAACTGGGAACGGAAGAGAGGATGAATCCCTGATTTTGCAATAGAATAGGCAAGTTTTAGTGGGACGGATTATTGAGTTTTCACTCAGTTTAACAGAGAAATAGAGATACTCCGTGATGGTCTCAATTCACATCCTCTCCGCCTCTATCTATTTCGTCTCGCATTTGTCTCTTTTGATTTTTTTTTTTAAATTGGTTCCTCCCTCTCTTTTAAAATAAAGGAAATTTATTCTTTTTTAAATAAATTTTGTTTTAAAGTTAATAAATCTCAAATGATAAAGTAAGTAAAGTTGGTTTTTGAAACATCGTGTTATTTAAAATTTGAAAATTTTGAATAAGATATTTTAAATAAGTTTGTTTTAAATAATTTTTTTTTTACAGTTTTATACTAATGTCAAATCCAAAATAAAATAAAGAGTTTTTTTATTTAAATTTTCGTTTATGTTTTTTTTCTTTTTTTTTTAAATAAAAATAAAAAATACAAAGTTTGTATTTTAAAAAAGGAGCATAACTTGTATCCTACGATGATGTCACATTGACAATGCACTTGGGTATTGACATACATGATCCAAGTTTGAGTGTTTGTTGGTCCATTGGTAATTGGTTTGAGTATCAATATTCATATCCCAAGTTCAATCTTAATGTGTCCTAAATTTGAAAATATTAATTTTTTTTTTATTTTTTAAATAATTATTTCAAAAATTATGATGACGGAGATTGGAATTCTCCAATATTCTCGAGGTGCTTAATTTTCTAATGGTCTTCGTACCACTTATACCTATTAATTCATGTGTTATAACATGAGTGTGCATTAATATAACATGAGACATTTCAATCAAAACACAAAATATTTTCTTTCTTGGACCAAATAAAATAATAGGATAATTTATGATAAAATGCCGTACCGTTTTCGAACAGGTGTCGTAGGGTGCTAACATTTTCCCTATGCTCAGTCGACTCCCGAACCAAAATCTATTTTTCGCAGACCAAATTTTAAAAATAGGTGACCAATCGTCACACCTCGTAGATGATTAGTGGCGACTCCAATCCCTTATTTCGAAAGAGATCCTTCAAGGAATAACGTCGATCGCTCTACATTATCGATGATGACGTTGCGACATGAGTTATTTCAGACTGTCATAGAATTATTGAGAGTAGCTTTGGTTGGACTTTCTTACTTCATTTTCATAAAGCATATGAACTTCATGTTTGATCTACTATCTAAATTGCTACCATTGATAAACTTTGTCTCATATTTGATGATTTTTTACTCGTGTCGCAAATTTGAAATAATAGTTGAATACAGTAGATATAAGGATGAATCGACATGACATGCCTGATATATCTATCCAAAGGAATCTGCTCTTGAAAAAGAAACTAAATTATTACAAAAATATATATATACAAACAAAAATAAATAATTTAATGATACATAAGATATGTCCGTGTGACATCTATAACTTCATACAAAATTACTTTAACAAAAACATTTTGATAAAGTTTATTTGACTCTTATGCATTGTCGTCTTTTGTTATTCTATTTTCAGCAAGGTGATATTGCAAGGAGGCAAGAGTGAAAGGTAAGAAAAAACGTGGACTTAGGCACATCGTCGCTAAATCTCACTGCAATAGTCCTCCACACCAAATCACCAGTAGCAAACATGCTTGCCAAACATCTTAGAAAAATTCTTCATTGCATCTGAGACTTCGAGTATTCATCCTTGTTCTCTTGTATAAGTATCTCTGATATGGTAGTAATATTCGTGCTGATTGGAAAGATGATAATATAAGTGCAAGAATTTACTTGGAAAGAAAAACTAATTACATACTTGTATTAGTTTGAAAAATTGATTCAGTTAAGAGGTTAAGAATCAACAAATGGTCGTTGATGTTGTAATCTAGTGAAGTATTTTCTAACTCAACACTGTCTTCTTGATTCGTTTAACTAGATGAAGGTTTACTAGAAAAAACTGACAATCTAATTGAGAATGACTTGTAATTGAGGAAAAGAAAAAAAAAAAGAAACAATTATTAGACACCCTTCTAATTTTATTTATTAAAAAAAAGAAGACAACAAATAAAAAATCAGGAACAAAAAATAGCAAATAAATCATTAATTAGCTTATTAGTGTCTTTCCTACATGGTTATTCATAGGAGAAATCATATTGATTAGACAAATTAACCACAAAAAATGTTATGATAAATTTCCATTAAATAATCTATTAAAAAATAAATGACAACGAACTTAAATAATTTCTTACTCAAAAGATTCAAATCCTAATTAAAATACATGAGTTTATAAAATAAACATAAAAATTTAATAAGATTTAAATCCAATTTTTTGGTTTAGAAACTTGTTCATTAAGACTGCTTAATCAATTTATTAATCTAGAACAAATAAAAAAAAAAAAAGCATGCCACGTAATAATGTTTGCACATTCGTTTTCCGCCCAACTACTGACCGGCCGGATGGTGCGAGTCACAGACTCACAAGCCTACTAGAAAACGAAAACTTCGTCGCTAACTGCTACAACCACAACAATTTATTCATAAAATATGACAATTTTTATGGAAGCGTCAAGGTCAACCTCCCCAATATGTATATAATTTTATTCAAAAATTCCATTTACAGTGACGCTATAGAACTTGTTCTACGCGGAGTTCAAACTCAAATAATGTATATTACAAGTCATGCTCATACAAAAATATTAAATTGATGTTAATTCATCGGAAAAAAAAAACCCTTCTTTACTATTCATTATTGATTAAATTAACTCAAAATTTTATAGCTCCTTGATTTCTTCAAATAATAATTCGATTCGGTTTCAAAATATTATTCAATTTATTCATAAAATATGACAATTTTTATGAAAGGGTCAAGATAAATATCCCTAATATGTAAGCAATTATATTAAAAAAAAAGAAATACCATTTACAGTGATGGTATAGAAGTTCGAAGTCGAGTTCAAATTCATATATAATATACATATGTATATTAAAAGTCGCACTCGTACAAAACTAATCAATTTATATTTCCATTCATTATTGATTAACTAAAAAAATACAAAAGAAAATGATCTCCACCGCATTGATAATAAAAAATTATTCAATTCAATGCGACTTGTCCAAATTAACCATCCAACAAAAACTTCTTTTAAATTATATCCATATACAATGGACGGTCAAATTGTTCCAGCCTTCTCAAATAGTGTTGTGGTGAATTAAAGGATGGAGCATGGAGGATAGGTCTCACGAGGCACAACGACGGCGTATCCGTAGGAAGGGCAATAATTGGGCGGACATGGGTAGGGGCAGGGGCAGGGCGGCGGCGGCTTCTTGTCTTTGTCGTCCGGCTTTTTTTCTTTGTCGTCCGGTTTGGGCGGCGGTCCGATGCTGACCACTTCCGCGTACTTGCCCGCACAAGAAATCGCCTTCCTCGCCCGTACAATTATGTCGTACGGATCCGCCGTCCCCGTCACCGCCACCGTTCCCTTGGCTTCGTCCGTCTCGATCTTGTCCACGCCTACAAAATCATTTTTTGCATGCACTTTCAATGGCGGAATTAATATTAAATAATTATAAAAAAAATAACAATAATAATAATAAGAAGAAGAAAGTAATTATATAAAATAAAATACCTTCTATAGTAACAGCTTTAAGGACCTTGGTCTTGCATTTTTGGCAGGCAATATCAATTTTGAGGACGGTTTTGATCTGCGCCATGGGAGCAAACTTAGCTATTAGGGAGGAATTCGGGTTGAATATTATGAAGCCACAGCTCGATGAACACGTTTTTATAAAGTCTTTCTGTGTCTTTGAGTTGGTTGGTTTTTTTTTT